TAGACAGCTTACAGTGGATTTGATTCGTTTCATATTGTTCTATTTTGTTTTGTTTTCTGCCAATGTCTATCTTTTGATAAGAAAGAGTTTGATGTCCGGACTTCATGGGGGCTATTTCCATTGATTAGTTTTTTGATATGGACCATACTTCTTGTTTCTTTACAAGACTTGTAATTTTGGGTTGATAACTCGACATTTTGAATATTCTAACATGGAAACTCTGGAAATCAGATGATCCCACCTCTTATGGGTTTGTTGCTTCTGGTTGTAGTGGCTGTTTCTTTCGTGGCTTTTCTAAACTAATTTTGTAAAGTCTGTATTCTTTGTCATGTATGGCCACTGAAGTCTCTGTCCCACCAGCTTAGTGGTCAGATAATAATTAGACAGAGATTTTGTTAAATGCCTGGCATAAAGAAGTTTCCCAGTCTTTGAAGATAGACTGTGTGTGTATCAGGACATGCCTTCAACAATCAGCTAGGAAATTTATAACTACGATTTACCCTTCACTTGTTCGTGCAGAATCTCAAGGTCAGACAGAGGTGAGAGTTTGAGGCTTTCTCAGTTCTTTCCTGAGCATGTGCACATCCGTGTGAATGCACATGGCCTTCTAGATTCCCAGGAATAGGTTGGAGCTTTTCAAACCGCTTTATTCCCCAAAGCGTTTCATTCCCCTGCCTTTCCTCCCAAGCTTTATGATTAATCTATTGTTTGCCCCAACTGTATTCATTGCCTCAGGCAGCAGCAGCTAAAACATTTGCCTGTAAGTATTTTTGACAAATGCTCCCATGTAGTTGCTTCAGAACTGGGTGAATAGTGCATTAGGTAAAGTAATGGCAAGCTTTTTAAACTTGCTCAAAACTAATAATTACAACTCTTGAGGTTTGTTCTGCTTCTCCGCAACCAGTATTGGGATTACGAGCTGTTATTTTCAAGGCTACCACAGAGCTGGGAGCAGGGAATGGACCAGGGTCAGTTAAAATATGACAAGGCTCACTGTTTAATGGACATTCAGCCACTATTCTTGATTAAGTTTTCCCCTGGTTGCTGTTTGCTTTTGTTTTTTAGTTAAGTTGTCAGAAGTAGATGCTGACCATTTTTGCCAGTTTCTTCTTCCATTGCTTTTATGGAGTGGTGGACTTTTGGAATCTCTTGCTCCATTATTTTTGCTAGCACCACTGCAGCACAGAGACTTTTAGAACACTCTATTTAATGGTTCTATAATATTTGCTATAATTTCCTTAACTGTTGTTACACTGATGGACATTTATCAATTATTTTCATTATATCATGTAGAGTGGTGGAACACTTGTGCATTCATCTTTGTTCACATCCCCAATTGTTTTCTTAGGCTGGATTCCTCAAGTGAACATGTAAGTGAAAAGATACAAACTTTCAAGGCCCATGATATGTGTTGTGAAGATAACTTCCGAATGTTTGCATTTACACTTCCACTAGCATGTTTGAAAGTATTGCCTCACTACAGCCTTCTCCCCTCTATTACCACATAAGACATTCGTTAATTAGGTGGACAAAAAAACAGTATTTCATTGTTTTGTCTTACATATCTAGGATCATCAGCAGGGTCAAAATATTTGTTGATATTTATTTGGTATCATCTCTTCTGTGAGTTTCTCATCAATAGTCTTTGTTGTGAGATGTCTGCCTTTTTAATTATTTATAAGAGCTATTTACATAGTAAGAATATGAATCCTTAACGACAATAATTATACATATTTAAAATACAGAGCTCTAAAAGCACTTCTAATTTCACATACTCAACAATTTCCTTTTGGTAGCTCTGGGTCACTATATTAGTGCCCTATTGCTGCTGTAACAAATTACCACAAACTTAGTGGCTTAAAACAACACAAATTTATTTTCCTATAATTACAGGGTCAAAAGACCCAAAGTCGAGTCAGTTGTCACCAGGGCTGTTTTCTCAGGAGGCCCTGAGAGGAGAATCTGTGTCCTTGTCATTTATAGTTCTAATGGCTGCCTCTATTCCCCAGTTTGTGGTCCCTTTTTCCATATTCAAAGCACATGATTCCAATCTCTGCTCCTGTCAGCACATCACTTTCTCTGATTCCGACTTCTCCTACATCCATCCCTTTTATAATGCTCATTGTAATTATGTCAAGCCCACTCAGATAATCCAAGATACTCACCCCATCTCAAGAGTCCTAACTTAATCACACTGGCAAAGTCTCCTTTGCCATATGTGTTAATCAGAATGCTCCAGAAAAACAGAACTAGTAGGATGTGTAGATGGATATGTAGGTAAATGGATAGATAGGTAATTTATTTTAAGGAATTATCTTACATGACGGTGGGAGCTGGCCTGTCCAAAGTCTGTAGGGCAGGCTGTCAGGGTACGGTGTAGACTCAGGGAAGAGTCAATGTTGCTGTCTTGAGCCTAAAGACAGTCTTAAGGAGAATTCTTTCCTCTTTGAGGTATCTCAGTCTTTTTCTTAAAGCCTGCAACTGATTGGATGAGCCGCCCCCCTCAACACACATTATGAAGGGTAATTTGCTTGATTCAAAAACTACAGGTGTAAATGTTAATCAGATCCAAAAATTAACAACAACAACAACAACAAATTACCTTCACCTCAACATATAGATGGGTGTTCAGCCAAACAACTGGATACCATGGCCTCGCTGAGCTGACATATAAAATTAACTACCACATTATCTAAGGTAACTTTCAGTTTCCAGGGATCAGGATATGGGCATACTGGAGGGGCCATTATTCAGCCTACCACAGGCAATCAGGTTATTTCTTTGACTAAAAAGAGAATGTCCTTCTCTTGAGAAAAGGTAGATACTAATTCAGACTAACTAACCCAAACATTTCACAATGCTCCCTTTCCCATCAGAATTTTACAGAAACAGAGGGAATTTTCCCATGATTCCTTTGCTTTCATTATGTGCAATTTTGAGGAGAATTTCATATCATATTATCCTCAGTAATAAAAAGAAAGATCTGCTTCTCTGATTAAAAGCCTTTTTTCCATACTTTTGAAGAAGAAAATCTCTCTCTCTTTCTCTTGAATTGCTATTCTTGGCAGGAAATATTTTATCAGCTCAGGCTCCTAATTGGATAGGAACATGGCCATTGTGGTGCTTTTCTGTTGCAGACAGGAGACCTTTAGGTTTGGGGGACTGGAGACACATTTCAGCAGGAATCTGTTCCCTTTTGGTCACTCACAATATTTGAAAATGAGACTGAAATGGGCAAAGTGGGAGGATTCCCAGAGAATTGTTCTGAGTTACCAGAACTTCAGTCCTGAACTGCTTGCTCTCTCCAAAGACAAAAGAAACCAAGATTCAAGGAAGAGTCTGCTTGGAAAAAAAAAAAAAAGAAAAAAAAAATCTTACTTCTGTTAAAAACATAAAATAGCATTCATTGCTATTATCTGAATGATTAATTCTGCCTCATACTCCTTACTCTCATAAATCTTTTGCTTCTTTACCAAAGGAATCCTCATTGCAATGGAAATCTTTACTCTTTTCAATACAGCATTTCCTCAAGCCTTGGGCAATGAGAGACCTGGTTAAAGACACAGTTGAGGAATGGGTCTGGCCTCTCATCCCTCAGTACCATGCCCTGATGTGCCCTTATTTTGGGGTAGTGGGGAGAATTCCCATGTGGCATCACGAGTGGAATAATCATAACAACCGATGTCCCTTGAAGACTCACCTGTTCCAAGCCTTAATTTGAATGCTTTGCAGACAATGTCTTTGCTCTTCCTGAAAATACCCCTCTCCTGAAAATACCCCTCCCAGGTAGAGCCCTTTGCCCCATTTTACAGATGAGGAAACTGAGGCTTAGAGTCATTGAAGGACTCATCTAAGGAAGGTTCCCCATCACTGGAATTCAAGACTGTATGACAACAGAGTCATGTGTAGCCCTGTTAGGGGTCAAGTTATGTCCTCCCCACTCTACACATGTGCAAAATCATGTTAAAGTCCTAATCCTTAGTACCTCAGAATGTGACCTTATGTGGAGATACGATCATTACAGATGTAATGAGTTAGGATGAGGGCATAACAAATAGGGTGGGCTTCTAATTTAATATGGCTGGCATTCTTATACAGGCAAGGAATTTGGACACAGACATGGATGTTCATAGAGGGAAGATGTAGTGAAGAGACACAGGGAGAAGAAGGCCGTCTACAATCCAAGGACAGAGGCCAGGAGCAGACCCTTCTCTCACGGTGCTCAGAAGGAACCAGCCCTACTAACACCTTGACCTCGGACTTGCAGGCTCCAGAACTGTGAGACAATGCATGTCTGTTGCATAAGCCACCCATTCTGCGGTGCTTTGTCACAGTAGCCCATGAAAACTAGTGCAGGCCCCTGTACCACAGTACTTCTCCAGTGAGTGGAGTTCTTGGCTGGGCTCTGGCCAAATGTGGCTCATCATTAGACGGGTGAAAGGATGTTGTGACAACTGCAGGAAACACGCTTCCTCATTTCCATGTTGATACCATCTGGATCTGTGCACATCTCTGTTACCCCTTCCTCTTATTTCCATTCAATCTTGGATGCTCAAAGCTGAGTCACACAACTAGCAAGTGGTAGAGTTCCTGGACTTCTCTGCAGTGTCCCCTCCCAAACAGTATGAAAAACCTGCTCCCTCTCTGAGCTGTGGTGACGGTGAAATTCTACCAAGAGTAATTCACTCAGAAGTCCTGGGGGTAGGGAAAGACACATTAAGTTCTGAATTCTTGGAATGGATTGTTGCATTGGATTAATCACTTCAGCAGATGGGAGTAAAGCCCCAGGGAAAATAGAACTAGGATGGGTAAGTTTTAAGGGGTTGGGGAGAAAGAGAGGTAGGAGTTGTCAAGTTGGAGTACAGACCCCTACTTTGCGGAGGGTTTTTGGTTGAAGGTGAGGGAACATGAACAAGGGAAGCCAAAAAACACCAAGACACACTCACCTACTTTGCATCTTGCCAGAGCAGGTCCTGGCATGGGGTTAATTGCCCACTTACCCAACACTGCACCTGGAAACCTTCCCAGACTGCACATCTGTCAGGGCTGGGCAGTGGCCCCTCTGGAGCAGAAATCCGAGGAAGAGCAGGGAGGTGGACAAGTGAACTCTTCCTTTCACATCTCTGCTGCCACAATAAACACCTGGCTGCCTCCCCCTTGCCCCCTGCTCTGGAGCCATCTGGCCCAGAACCATCTGCTGGGGTAGTGGGGTGCTCTGAAATAGCTCTGCTCCCCCTTGTCAGTTTGGATGTTTAACTCTCCACTTGGCTCAGCTAATAGGCTCCCAGAGATCCAGGGCTTCCCCATCGAGGCAGGAGAAGCTGGCTTGCATGTCCCAGGATGAAGGATTTAGGAAAAGAACCAGCTCGTTCAAGCTGCACTCCCTCCATTTTCTGCAGTGACTTGGGTGTTTTCGGGCATACATCATCTCACTTAACTCCCCAATAGCCCAGCGAGGAAAATGTCATTATTCAAATGTTACCCAATCCATGGACGACAAAACTCCAAAAGTCACTGGGACTTGGTACGCTTGCTCGCTTCCTCTCCTGATGGCTCAGTAAAGGGCTGAAAGGAAACAGAAGCAGGAAAAAGATGTCCCCTCAAAGGCCTGCCTGGTTTCCTCTGACCAGCGACCAGCGAGGCCAGGCCCCTCAAAGAATGAGCACCCTTGCCCTTAAGGTGGTCTGCAGGTAGTAGGGGCAAAACATGGACACAGTTCCTCATTGTGTTTATGATGGGGGCCATCATCTGAAGCTTTGAAAGTGAGGATTTGTATCCAAATGGCAGATCATACTTTTTAGTATGTACATTTAAAAATCTAGAGAATTTGACAAAATCTTGAGTCGCCAAATCATAATAAAGTGGTATCATTGTGGTTTTGTTCTAACAAGTACTGAGAGATGGAAGGCTTTTCTGCTTCTTGTTTTCCACAGCAATCCCGGCAGAAACCCCCGTTTCTGGCGTTTGCATCCTTGACGTACCTCATGGAGCTCACCGATACGGACATCGTGTGCCTACTGAGACAAGATGCGGAGGCAGAAGCATGGCCAGCTCGGGAAGATGTCATCATATTGTTTGATTCCAGAGAAGCACTGGAGAAAAGGTGTGGGTGCAGTGCAGGGCAACCCCTTGAGATGGAAAGATAGTCACATTCGCCGAGGACCCACTCTGTGGCTGGATGTGCTCTGGGTGCCTCTTACACAACCCCATGTCATTCCTTCAGTACCATTGTGATGTCAGCACTACCCGGTCACTGCACAGCTGATGAAAGAGGCATCCTCAGTCCCAGGGATGTGCCCATATGGCCAGCTATCAAAACAGGACTTGAGGGGTGCCTGGGTGGCTCAGTGGGTTAAAGCCTCTGCCTTCGACTCAGGTCATGATCTCAGGGTCCTGGGATCGAGCCCCGCATCGGGATCTCTGTTCTGCGGGGAGCCTGCTTCCTCCTCTCTCTCTGCCTGCCTCTCTGCCTACTTGTGGTCTCTGTCTGTCAAATAAATAAATTTAAAAATCTTTAAAAAAAAAAAAAAAAAAAACCAGGACTTGAGCCCAGGTGGTCTGACTCCAGAGCCTGGATGCATGATCCCTGTGCTGTTGGAGACAGGCTGGTGGCTGGGAGGACTCTGCAGCCTTGAATGGTGACTGATGAGGATTCACAGAGAAGTTCTCTTTATTCCCTCCAAATCAAGTTTTCACCTGTGCTTCTCAGCCACGGCTGGTATTACAATAACCCAGAAGGATTTGCCAAGCCTGGCCCAGATTGCAGGGCTTTTGATTTCCTGGTCTGGGGTGGGCCTACCCAGTGGAATTTTTTAAATCTCTCCAGGGCTGACAACCATCATCCTTAAGCGGGGAAACGAATAGGGGCAGGATTGATGTTCTCAATTAGGAATAGGGTCCTTGCTTCACCTACGACTTAGCCAGTCAAGTGATGAATCAATTATTTTTAGTGATTTTTACATCTGGTTTAACTCCTTGAATTGGATGTGGCCAGGTTTAGGAGGAGGGGTGACTCCTGGGACAGGACGGGGATACAGGACACAATAAGAAGGGGTGATTGAAATCAGTTGGCTGAGCCTCATGGGACTGACATTTGAGAGGTAACACAATGACAGCAGGCCCAAGCCTGCCGGAGGAAGGGGAGAAGAAGGCCTCTGGACTTTCGGGTGGTGCAGAGAGCAGGTTTATAGCTAATGGCTTCGGTGCCAGGAGCCGCTGCCAGGTGACTGGGTGAGTTATGGGCCCAGGCTGCCCCTTCCCTGGCGTGGCCCAGCCCCACTAGGGAGCCAGGTTTGGAGGAAGATGTGAGCCCTTAAGGGTGAAGTCAGTACAAGGAGCTGACCTCCAAGGACTCCCAAGACAAGGTTCAAGGGCGCTTGTGGGAACTCCATGGTGGAGGCTGCAGGAGCAGGCAGGGACTGTGGTGAGCAGAGAGGAGGGAGAACCAATTACTCTTGGCTGCGTTAATTTAGTAATAACCCCTTAGCATTTAGTGAGCATTTCCTGTGTGCCAGACACTGTGTGGAGAATAGAATAAGTTTATACTCGTGAGGTACCTAATCTCACTACCCCGATTTTACAGAAGTGGAAACTGAGGCTTGTTGAGGGGGTACATGGCAGAACTCTGACTCAAACCCAAGGTGGCCAGCCTTCCAGAGCCAGGCTCTCGGCCTCCACAGTGGCTGCCTGCTGTGGTCAGAGATTTTCAGAGTGGTTCAGAGCCCAGACTCCGGACAGTTGGCTGGGGCTCAAATCCTGGCTCTGACACTTTCTGGCAGAGCCCTGGGGTCTTCAAGCCGAATTTGGAAACCATAAGTCATGCTTAATCCCAGGGGATGAAGCTGTTGGTTTTATGGTTCTCGAGCCATTCCATCCCTAAGCAGGGCCAAGTTCTGTCTTTTAGTTCACTGTGTCCCCAGGGGTGGCTGGAGAAAATCTGATGGGCAGAGAAGAATGGGGTGGGGGGGGGCAGGGAGGGTAGGCAGTGTTTGCTGTTGCAGCGGAGAAGCTGCAGACAGGAGGGCAGTCACCGCTGTGGGCCCAGGTGTGTGAGAATGCATGCCTGGCAGGCGTTGGAGCACATGGTGCCTGTATTTCTTTGTGCCCCTAAATCAGGCCCTTGCCCCGAGGGGGTCCAGGCCTGTGCTTGTTTGCTGGAAACACATCCTGGCTTCCCAGAGAGGAGCTGTCGTGGTCCAAGAATGAGCTGATCTCGGGGCACAATAGTGTGCGGTTTTGCAATACGAAAATAGATCTGTTTCTCCGGCCCTTTTATTCCACACACAATGGGATCACCAGGCCACTCTTTCTTTCTCTTTCCAACAACAATGATGCCATCAATATCCTCCTGGGCTCGTCTTTATTTGAAGGCCGGGAGGTATGAATTTTATCGTTGCAGATAATCCTGCTGGCTACAAAATATTCTAAACAAAGTGAGCTGCTCCAGTCGCCCACTAAGGCCGGTTTTCTTGAATCGAACAGGCTTTTATTTGCTGAGTCCTCCTCCTGCCCGAGCCGTCAAGCTCTTCTTCACAAGACTGAATGGCCTTTGCCAATGGCAGAAGCCTTTCTGGAAAGTCATGAAACTTGATTTCAGCCCAGGAATGAGCCCTGAGTGGAAATGATGGTGGTTTTGAACTGGTCTTCCAGGGCACATTCTCAATTTCTGAGTACAGCAGATTGCTGGATGTGCTATCGCTCGCCCTGAATAGAGTTACACAGTGTGAGACTCAGAAAGACCAGAGAGAGCACCTAGTAACTAAATTCTAGTCTAAGCTTGCATTTTACAGGCGGGAAAACCAGCGTCCAGAGTAAAGAAGGGACTTACCTAAAGTCTCAAAGCTTGCAGGTGGCAGAGAAAAGGTGTGAGGTCATGTTCTTTCCTTCCCCCCTCCCCCGGCCCCCAGCATCTCCCACAGTCTCACGTGTGGTATGGATGATGCCCAAGGTGTTTTTGGGTGGCCCATGGCATCAAATGGCATTAAATCATATTGACTCATCCAGATTGAAATGATTCAACTTTATTTTACTTTTGCTCTGGATCATAACAGGATGAAAGGCTTAGTTTGCTGCTAGCTTGCCTTTCATTGATCTGTAACAGGATTTCTCTCCCTTTGTAACAAATGCAGAGCCGACCTCCTGTTGAGAGGAAGTAACAATATCTATTTTGAATTTAATAACACTGTTTTGTTTTCATTGTGTTTATTTTAAATGTTACCACCTAATATTACTCATTTCCCACTTAGAGCTTTTTAATGACTATTTTTAAATACCTGTATTTTTCATAAATTAAAAAATAATTTCATTTAATTTTTTAAAAGTGAGTTTATTTAAAGCATTCAGTAACACTATAGGTGCTTTACGGATATGACAAAGCTTGAGAAGGGAAGAAAGGGTATAAAGCAGCGATGTGAGTGGCTGAAACCTGCAAACTATTGCTTTGCACCAGGTACTTCCTATATATAGCTTCAGGGCTGAACTAAGTCTGTTGGAGAGAATTTCCAGAAAAAAAAAAGATGTTTGAACTTGAACTCATTTCTCTTGCCTGCATAGCTCTCGTCCATTTTGAAGTATTCTATCAGACATTTCTTTCTTTCTTATTCCTGACCCTTCCCTTGATCAGAAGCAGGATTTTGCCCACATAGATGCCCATATAGGGAGCCTTGTTGGGTACTGTGCTGGGGGTACTGTGCTGTCCGGAGGGTCACAGCTCAGCCCCTCCCTGGCTGTACTCCTGCCAAGTCATTGACTTTCTGCCGCTGACTGTCTTCAACTGCATTTGAGAAAGCTCAGGCTGAATGAATCTAGTATGTTCTTTTAAATCTTTATTATTATTATTACTAGTCTTTAACCTGTGAGATTGTATAGTATAATGGGGGTTCCAGAGCCAGTCTGGAATGATTCTAATCCTCTTTCTACTCCTACTTAGCTATGTGTCCTTGGGCAGTTCATCTAGTTTCTTTGAGCCCTGGCATCTGTACCTATATAAAAAGAAGGATGAGGGCAAAGCCAAGACCAAAGAATCTGTGTGCATCTCAGACTCACTCATGAGACTCAAGTGTCCCGAGGGCACCCGACAAGCTAATCAGGAATGTGGGAAAGAAGCAGATGAAGTTAGCTGGCTTACTCACACACTGGCTTATCTTGCAACAGTCACCATTAACTTCCTTGAAGGCAAGGTCCCTACAGCACCTGTGTCACACAACAAAGTGCCCCATGAGTATTGAATTGAGTTAACAGAGTTGAATGGGTTCAGACTGGATTATACTGTGCTGAGTGTATCTAATCATCCATTTATTCAGCAGATTTTTTTTTTTTTTTTTTTTTTTTGAGCATCCATGGCATGACAGCACTGTTTCCTGTCCTAGAGAGCCAACTCCAATGTCAGCCTAACCTGGAAAGGCTGAGGGATCTACTACTTCTTGGGTGACCTTGAATGAGTTACTGAATGTCTCTGGTTTCCTTGTTTATAAAAATGGGTCTAATAATTGGACCTCAAAGGAGGGTTGGGAAAAGGGAAAG